GCTTTAAGTAGAAGTTTTAATTCAGGACTTTTACTTGTAAAGGAGTATTTTAACATTATTGTACCGATACTTTCACTTTAGTATCTTGCAGACGCAAATTTAAAAAATTAACTTCAGAATTGTTTCCTGGGTATGTACTGGACTTGTATATTTATACGTATATAAATAACGGTATATATTGTTTGTTTTTATTCATTTTATGTTACTATATTCATGTGTAGCTTGAAGGGACCACAAACTTTCATTTTGTTGTACCACTATGTGGTAATGATAAATAAACTACCTCAAGTACAGTTTCAATCTAACTTAATGCATTTTATGGTAGTTTTATTTAATTATATGTTGATTATGTTGTTTTTGAACTGTCACAAAAGTTACTAAAACACACCATCGACTTATGTGGTCTGGCTGGATATTAATTTAAAAAAGCATTACTACGCACTGCATCTTGTTTACAAAGGAGGCTCACCTGTGTCCACAAACTTCCCTGTAAGCGCACTACTTCATTGAACTTCTGAAGAATACCCTGGTACTGCTTGTCAGTGTATTCAAAGCGATCACCAAACACCAGGCAGCAGATGATGTTGGACACAGCACTGGTAATCAGTGATTGGGCATCAAAAGGCTTGCCTGTAAAAGAAAGAGGAAATGTAGAGAAAACACACAGAACACAAAGTCAAAACATAAACTGTGTGATGAGCCACAGGCAGAAGAAGAGTACTGTGACATATTGATTATAATTATGGATGATTAACAGGCTGGTCTATCAGATACATTTACAGTGTCAGCCACTGCCAAACTAAAACAAACTAACGTCTAAAGTGCATGGTTCAGTGCTCCACGGTGTTGCTGCATGCCTCTGTGTGGAGCAAAGTTGAAGGGAATATGTAATAAACATAATAAAAAAGAATGTGCCCTGTAACTAGCTATGAAGCATTAGTTGATTAGTGGTTGTTTGTTGAAAAATAAGATTTGTTTGTTGCCTTGCTGAAGGGCAAAAGCTTCAGTGAGATATTGGCACTCCTGCTGGATGGATGGCTCCAGGCTCTTCTTGCCGACACCAAAGTTTCTGAGTGTCTGAAGAGCGAATCTCCTCTGCTGCTTCCATGGATTGCCACTTGATATCACCAGACCTTTTGGAAACACAAATAGCATTACATCGAAGGTAACTGGAAATGAGTAAAACTAACAACTAGCTAAATGCTAATGTCCCTAATAAGGTGTCAGTATGATCCTAACTAACAACTTTTAAAATACTACACAGACCTCTCTTCCCATTTAATGCTTCAATTAATGGTATGATGGGGCGATCTATGTAGTCCTCTCCTTTGTGGACCAGGGCCTCTCTTACAAGCTTGTAGCCATTAATCACCACAATCCTTCCACCGAACAGCCGAAGGCTGAAAACGTTTCCATATTTCTCTGCAAACTGAACACAGAGATCAGACAGGTGTTCAGAGTTGACCTAGTTTCTGAGGATGTCAAAACAAAATCAGTCTAGCTTCAGAGGGTGACAGCACAAACATGCACCTGGCTGATGTGGGTGGTGTTGGTTATTATTGACATAAATTGGCTCTGTAGATACTAGTGTAAATTTGTTTCTTCTTGTTTCATAAACTCCCTTGTGGTGACAGATTATTTTGAGGTGTGATGTCCCGTTTCACCACTACATGGGGAAAAAAGTGTCTGCCGCCTCACACATAACAATGGCCCCTCTGATACCTCTGACCAGATGCAGAGTAGAGCAGCCTTTTGGAAAATACAGTATTAATCCTGTGGACGGAAATCAAACTGCAACCACATGCCTGAATGTTGAATCCAATGCAGGAGTTACTCAATATGCATTTATTAAGGATTATAGATGGCTACGTTTGATGCCAAAGCATACAGTATACTGTATGGCATCCCTTACCCCGCCAACTGGCACTCCAAGCTGGGAAACAACCTAGGTAAGGTTTTCTTCTTTGCCTGGTGCTCCTACATACAGTATTTGTTAAAATGTCTCCTATAAAGTAAAGTAAATCTGTCTCATCCACAGAATTTACTTTACAGCAACAGAAGCAGATTGCAACAATATGTTTCTGTTAGTTCCTGAAGTGCAGCAGACCAATTTTATTATAATTTTGTTATAATAATTACTAATTTGCTGACACTTTTATCCAAAGCGACTACCAATTGCTATATATATCAGAGGTTATACTCCTCAGGAGCCGCTAGGTTGCTCAGAGACACAATGGTGGATGCGTCACAGTGGGAATTGAACCCAAGTCTCCCCGACCTACCAAATCTTATCCACTGCTACCCAGAACACCTTCAGTCTAATAAATACAAATAATAACTTTGTCTTTTTTTAACTGTCAAAGTATCAGACACCATTTCACCTGTAATTTCAGGTCCACTACCTAAATATTTTAGTACATAAATCGTCTCCAAAATAAGAATCAAGATTAAACAATCCCTGACACATAACTCAACCAGTCAGTTAGCTTGGACCTTCTACATAATGTCTGAATAAACAGTTAGAGCTGCAACCAACAATTATTGAATTTTCTCAAGTAATTGTTTGTTCTATAAAATGTCACAAAACAGTGACAAATGCCTAGATTTATTAGCATTGTGTCATATTTTGGATTCTGAACTGCTGAGGTAGGTGAGTTAACTGTACCATTATTGTTTTGTTATTGAACATGAATGTTGAGATTGGTTTCTGTTGTGGGTTACAGCCTAAATGAGAGTAAAATGTCAGAAGTGAGGTATACATTATTTGTTTTACTGATTAGTACTGGCAGTAAGAGTATGTGGTCCCAATACACTACAGTTTAACATTCCCTTCTCTTCTGAAAGTTCAAAACAATGACTTGAAATGTTGGTGTTACCTAACCTGCTTGGCTCAACATCCAAGTTTAAATGGGGAACTCAAATTGGGTAAATAACACAAGTCATATTTAATCCTGGGTGAATTAGGCCATGAATTTGCTTTTTACAAAAGTCCTTCAACTTGAGTTAATGATTTCCTACATTCTCAAGGGAAGGTGCCTGAACCTGTTGTATAGCTGGATTTTTCTTTTATATCCAGATTTAATTAAAAATGCCGAAAGTGCTATGCTTTGACTAAAAATGTAGAATTAATGGTGTTCTGGACAAAATGTTTGCTAAAAGTAATTTCTAAATATTGTATGAGACTTTAAGAACTTTTCTGTCATGCTGCTGGTGGGTGATTGTGTTTTAAAATCCTTCCTGAACTTTTATATGCACTGGAAACACGTGCGACTGGCTTTGGAAACCTAGAGATTGGTCTGAGAGAAACTGGGTGAAAACAATGACAATGACACAGATATTACATATATAGGCCTATTGCCCACAACCTGTAAGTATTATATAGAATTTGTGGGAACATTTTTAGTGTCTGGAAGTGAGTCTGGTAACGTTACAGAGGAAGTCCTAAGGTTTTTTCTTCAAATAGGCATTGTATTTAACTCTCCCAATAATAATTCTTAAACTGCATGTCTGTCCTTACCTCTGTGAACTGCAGGTGAAGTCTGGAGGGTTGGATGCGATGAAGGTCACCAATCAAAGGAAGAGCCCAGGGTCCAGGAGGAAAGTTGGTCGGCACTCTGTTCTTCAAAACATCAGTCAACAACAGAAAAACACACAGAAATATTAAAAGACTCGTGCCGTCCATCCACTCCAAGCCGAGTACTTTGTGTATTGTCTCCATTCGTTGTCTTATTTATGTTCAGTGTTAACTGCGATATCGCGACCGAACAGAGCTCAGTCAGGTAAATAAATAATGAACGGAATGTTGTCGTTGACCACGTTGGTATCGAGAAGACATCCGGTTTGCGTGCCTGACCTTCAAAATAAAGGCGCAAAACATACACGCAAGAAGAAGTAGCCTACTCACATCTTTTAGTTATGTAGAAGAAGAACGGAACATTGTATACACTCACCGGCCACTTGATTAGGTACACCCGTTCAATTGCTTGTTAACAGCTGATCAGTCAGTCACATGGCAGCAACTCAATGCAGTTAGGAATGTAGACTGGTCAAGACAACTTGCTGAAGTTCAAACCCAGCATCACAATGGGAGAGAAAGGGGGGTTAAGTTAGCCTACTTTGAACGTAACATGGTTGTTAGTGCCAGATGGGCTGGTCTGAGTATTTCACAAACTGCTGATCTACTGGGATTTTCACGCACAACCATCTCTAGGGTTTACAGAGAATGGTCCGAAAAAGAAAGAGAAAATATCCAGTGAGCAGCAGTTGTGTGGACGAAACTGCCTTGCAAAGCATGTCCATCCCTTTATGACCACATTGTACCCATCTTCTGATGGCTACTTCCAGCAGGATTATGCACCATAAAGCTGACATAAGTTTGGCTAACAAAGTTCTGTACTTTTACTTTTTGAATGAGTTTTTATGGTAATGGAGTATTTCCACTACTGAAGCCCCTTGACCCAGATGATCCCTTAAAGCCCCATATTCAGGGCATGACATTGTGCTTTCAAAAGATGCAAAAAATTTTTGTACGCCCTGCACTAGGATTCCTCTCTAAACAGTCTAATCGAGCAGAGTACGGGAGCATCAACGTGCCTTGACAGTCATGTCTGTCCCCAAGAATTTGAAATCAAGGTACCAAAAAAGAAAGAAAAAAAAAGAAAGAAAGTGAAGGAAAACAACCGCTAAATAATTTCTTTTAATAGAAAGGTGATCACACTCACAACTAGCAGTTAAAGAATTTAAGCTAATATCAGCAGTTTAGATTTAAGGTAGGAATCTAACTTGATGCATATTTGCATAGTAGGCTAGAACACAAATTATTATCAGCAGCATAATTTCTTAAGTTATAATTATTTTGCTTTTAGGCCTACATGCCTTTGGACCACTAACTAATACCATGGGCTTCGACACAAAGATAGATTAAAGCTACTGAAACTATACAAATGGCAATGTAAAGCATTTATTTGCTTCTGCAAATGAAACTTGACTTTAGTGAAGTCTTGTTCAGTTGTTTTTTTAATAAGCAGTATAGTATGCATTTTCTCAATGTAAGGCTACAACAACAAAGATGGTATTTTTTCAGCGTTGTCTTATGATGTGGGAATGATGAATACTTGAATAAACATGATCAATATCAATGCTTAAAATAAAATTATTTTCTATTTTATTTTAAGCGTGATATTCATAGCAAACCTTATTTAACTATAGTAAAGTAATTGCAGGAGACAGTGTGATGAGAAAAGAGGGCTGAAATGTGTTGAGATTTCAAACTGTGCAGACTTGAGTACAAATCATAGATTATTGTTACTTGTTTAATATTTGTAAAGAACAGTTTATTAGTGACTACCATAATCACCACCACAGTTTAATGTGTACAGTTGTTAGCTCAATTATTTGTCAACATTTTTCAAAGATGCGTGAGAGACAGGTACCAGGAGTTGAAGGGGGCCCTCAGAGACTGCTTGTACCCTATATAAGGCCCAGAAGTTTGTGCTACATGCCTGCAGACAAGGGTACAAACAATGAATCCTAAAATCACCACTTGGCAAACACTTGATTTAAAATATCAGTGCAACAATGACTGACAGTTTCACTGCCATGGCACTACTCATCCACACAAGTGAGTGGAGTTAATCCACCCTTGTTAACCTTCACCCGTTCTGCTGTCAACACATTACATTGGAACTTACTCATTTAGCTGATGCTTTTATTTGATAGCTCCCAGGGGTTGAGTGCCAAATTCTCCACACTACAGTGGGCTGTCACAGGAGTTACAGTTGGTCTTTCTGGAACTGAAAATGAAGTATTTCCCTCTTCTCAGGGTTAATAAACTCAGAGCTGTCAGTAAACCCGCTTTGTGGACTGCACCAGCATGGAGCATCTTCCTACACAGCCTGTGACAGACAGCACAACATGTTAATATATTTGGGTCTCCATGCAAGGGTCCAGCTTAGGTTACATCTGTCCGCTCATATTAGTTTATTTATATTACTCTGATGTTCAGTACTTGTGTTATGTCTGCTCACCTCCAGTATCTGCCTGCCTTTCAGTATCTCTGTTTTCCCCTTCTGTCTCTCTGCCTCGTTAACCTGATCCCAGTCACCTGGAATAAATCTCCTTTGAACTGTACCACCTCTGCTTTGCGTCCTGCGTTTGGGTCCTCCAACCTGCTCTACCACCACTCACCGTGACATTCCTCTTCCATGTACATTTAGTAATCTGGCAGTTAGTTATCCCCACCAAAAATGAAAAGAAAGTCATGTCCCCTTAATCCCCAGACTAGCTGCATGAAGAGCAATGAAACGTGCAGTGACCAAAGGAAACCTCGCACATTGATATACTTAACCTCACAAATACATACATACTCACGTTGCGTATACATAAATATTTGCCTCGCACATGCATACGAATGACACTATGTATTGTGCGACTGTATGTGTATTTAAGTGAAGTATTCAATTTTGACCAAGGTGGTTTCTCATAAAGTTGTTGCTCTTCTTTTAGGAGCCTACAGTTATGCCTCCTCCCCTTTGGAGAGATACTTACACAAAAGTTTAATCTTTTTGGCAGGTACGCCATCACACTCACGTTCATCTGTCCTTGCGCTGCTGTTTTTCGTCTTCTGCTTCTTCTTCTTGTTGTTTTGTTGGTGGTTGCACGTTACTAGATATTACAGCTAATGTTCAACATACTACCACCTGCTGAGTGGGGAGGTGAATGTGGCAAACATATTAAATAAGCCCAATGTTTTTTTTTTAAAGTTTAAAAATATGGGAGCTTTATGGGAAAATATTTAAACGGGAGAACAGCGGGAGAGAATGGTAAAATACGGGAGAGTCCCGGGAAAATGGAAGGGCTGACGGGTAGGCCTATGCCATAACATGAAGTGCACCAGGAAACAGCAGCAACCAGCTGGAAGAGTTCCAGCTCCAGAGTTGTTTTTCATTTCAAAGGCCCGAGAGTCCACCAGGGTTATGTAACATTTCCTTACTGGGGGACTTTGTTCCCAGCCTCCTCCACTCCTCACCCAGATAATGAAAGACACACCACCATCCTGTCTGTAGGAAAACTGTTTTTGAAATATCTTTGCATGGACTTTACTGGCTGGCTGTTGTTCAGTTTTGTAGTTCAGTGTAGTACTTTTGACTGACGTGTTCAGAAACAAGAGGCCACAGCTTTCCACCTGGGCTGTGCCTTTTCTAGGAAACGTCTTCACTGGAGTTGAATACCAAACAATGGAAAAGGTGAGATGAACTTTTTGTTTGTTGTTTTTTTAGACATGCATGAATGCCTCTTCAGAGTAAAGCGATAATAACCAAGGGGAAATTTAGCTTTCAGAAAGTAGCCTTGTCAACATGAAAGGAATAATAAAGAATAACATAAGCTTGCACCTCAAACGTGTGTTGTCACCATCTGCTAATTTGATATCAGTGATTATTCATTTAAAGTTTTAATTTCTGCTATGTAGGTTAAATAGGTTAGAAAATAATGCAGCACCTCCTCGAACCTGATTTTAAATCTCAAATAACGATAGTTACAAACACCAGGTTTAATGTCATTCATTACTGAAGGAATGTCATTTAGAGGCTTTGAAAGTGTTTTTGATAATAGAGTATCTGTGTTTTCATATCAACATGAAATAATTTACAAAGCTCAAAATATATTCAAATAATCAGTGACAAATTGTAGGTAAATACATGAAAAATCAGTACTAATATTTTTAGCATGTTAAGGAGAACAGTTTGTTAAAATCATGAAAATATATCAAAGACAAACTCTGTCAACACAGATTGATAGTGAGCATCAAGTGAGACCAATAGTAGTAATTGTCTACCCTTTATAAGCATTGCATCTGACAAACACTGCCTTCTATCCAGCATATCATTCATATATTAAAAGACTGTAAAAGTCTTTGTGAAACATTTCTTCTCTGGAAAAGTAATTTGTTTTTAAATGCAGCTTGCTCGGGTGTACGGCCCAGTGTTCAGCTTGAGGAGAGGCAGTGAGAGGATGGTGCTTATTTCAGGATACAAGATGGTCAAAGAGGCTCTTGTTAACCAGCTGGACAGCTTTGTTGATCGACCTGTTGTCCCTCTCTTCAAGTTTTAACCAAGGCACTTGGTGAGTATGTGAGAGCATGAGTGTATGGCACCACAAATGAGTTTTATGGTATCAAGCTCCTTAAGAGTAAAACTATATTAGAGTATATAGAGTATTTACCCAAAGTCACAAGGGACAAACCTCTGCAATAGTTTTCTTACTACACTCTGACCTCGTCCTTCTAGGATTGACCAAACTCAGCACAGCAGGGATTAGGGAAAGACAATAGCTTATTCTTTTCAGTGTAGGCGGTCATTAAGTGATAGAGTTCAGTCTTTCCCACAGACTGACAGACAACTTTTATAATGATGTAGCCTATGAAAATGAAACCAACGTCTGCACTGATGAGTTCACTGTCGCTTTATCTAGTCAGTGCTTGTAAAATGTCTACAGCTTCCGCAACTTGTAACAGAATAGATAACAACTCTGTGTTTCTCTGTAAAATGCTGAAATGGATCCTGGAATACCTTCCAGCAACGTATTACGTTGGAGAGGGCCAGAAGTCACTGGAAAAGCAACTTCCTCTGTGAAGCTTTCAATGAGGAACAAGGCAAGTAGATTGTAAAGACATCTTCACATCACAATTGTGCAGAATGTCTGTGGCAAATAAAATAATTTTTGAATACAGCGACCAAAGCTTTTTCAAGTTCCTGGAATTGGACAATGAGGCCATTGTGCTCGCAGGCTCTGCTCAGACTCAGGTAAGTCCTGATCTGCCTCAACTATTATGTTGTGATCACAAAACAAACTGGTTTATTACTGATGTGAGTTTGTCCCATGAATAGCTGTATGACGCCTTCCCTGGCTTGCTGAAGTACCTGCCAGGACCTCACCAGACTGTTCACGCCAACTACAAGGAGATAATGATTTTCCTCAAAAAGGAAGTAGAGAAGCACCAAGAAGAGTGGTACCCAGATGACCCTCGAGATTATATTGATGTTTACCTGGCAGAGATGGAGAAGGTAAGATATTTCCATGAAAGCATGGCTCTAGAGAAATGTCATAAAATAACAGTGTTTTCTGCTGATTGGCCAGAAAAAGGAGGATCCCCAGGCTGGCTTCAACATAGAAACCCTGCTGATTTGCATCCTCGACCTAATTGAGGCTGGGACAGAAACGAGTTCCACCACTTTATGCTGGGGCCTCGTATACATGATGCACTACCCAGAGACACAGGGTTAGTATCTTATTTATAAGCACAGAAGTATTATGAAATTATAGATGGTTTGGCGCTATTTCAAGTGTATAAAGTTCAGCAAGCTGCCCATTGTAATCTGTGTAGCATACCTACTTTACTGTTAAATAAAAATGAATATTAATTATTCAGAAATATTAATTCATAACTCTCGTTTCGGGGCACCACCTGAAGATTTGCTGTCCGCCCAAGGCTTTAGGAACCTTGAGTATAGCTTAGTAATTATCCAATTATTTCCTAATGATCAGTTCGTAGTAATTGCTTAATCATTTCTATAAGTCAATCTCATATCGAAGGCGTACATCCTCCGTTACAGTGACCTGGAGTTAAACAATACACACACACAGTTCCTGTGATTTGGGTGAAATTTATTAGAACTAACTGTGTGAATAAATGAGGTTAAATATACTTCAAAGAATTAAACAATGGCTAAACAAAACAAAGTGCAGACAATGGGAATGGTGTAGTTCAATGTGAATCTAGTTGGTCTTAGTTATTGTGGAGACGGATTTGATAAAGGATTAAAATAAAGCAGAGTCTGCTGAGAGGCTGTCCCTTAACTGCAATGTCTATTTTAAAGTCTATTTGCATGTACTTCAATCAAATACCTTCCCACAATCAAACCTTAAATGTCATAAACAGTTATGCCATTCTTAGTTTTAAGCACTTGATAAAAAGAAAAGGAAACAATTACTTAATCTTTGTCATGATTAGAATGGTTCCCATTTAAACACATTTTCAGGATGGAAGGAAGTTAACTAACATTTCCTGGATAATATTGGCTACATATAGTACACTACATACAGTATTGTTACATTCTTACTTAGAGTGTGTGTATATATGTGTGTGTGTGTGTGTGTATAAAATTATACGAACAATAAAATACAGAGTGATTACATTAAACAGCAGGAGAGACATTACAAAACAGGAACCTGTAATACTTAATTTGTCCTATGGGGTAACACTGATTCCACGAGAGAACCATTGATCCTCTCACTAGGGAGGAAATACTTATTCAACATTAAATTCGAGCTGGAAAATTAAGTAGCACAGGATAATACTTCCGTATCATCACTTCTAAAAGAAGTGTCAAAGTGTTGGGAATACAGCATTAGTTAAAACATATTGAAGGAGTGTCAGTGATCATTGCTGAAAATTAAAGAGCACTGCAAAATTTACTTATTTGTGGTTTCTTCTTTTCAACAGCAACAACATGATAATATAACTACTCAAATTTACGTGGAAAGACCTGCTAAGTAACTTAACAAAGATTATTTAATTAAACAAGGTAATAGGCAAGTTATAAGGAGACAATATTCATTTGTCCGCACAAAGGAATTCGCAGCGTCCTTCTCTGGTGTCTGTCTTATCAGTTTCACATATCTGCGTGAGAAGGAAGGGGCAGGTTAAGAGTCCATGTTAATGGCTCTTTGGTGGGGTATAGAACCAGGACTGAAAGAAAGGGGTTCTTTTGATGTTTGGAGTAATTAGAAAGGGGGGCACTGTTGCCATGGTTTCCCTGCCATTTGGCTCGTCCTGGGGAGTGTCGGACACTTTTATGGTCAAGGTGTCTAGGATGTCTCTCAGAATACAGTTTGTAGTCTTTGTCTGTTTGAGCTTGTGCAGGTGTATGTCTATACCCCAAAGCTGTCTTTTCCTGTGCAGGTCACAAAGGCCAAATCTTGGGAGGAGGCCCCCTTGGGTAAAATAAACAATCTCACCTTTCTCTCAGGGGACACAAAATGAGATATTATTGATCTTCCTTTTTAGCATAAAATAATTAAAACACACTGGCTGGTCCACCACATCTGCTTCCTCATTCAGAGAAGGTCCAGGCAGAGATACAGAGTGATTGGACAGTCTCGTCAGCCCAACATGGCCGGGCGTGTGCGTAAGACGAGCACAACCACGATAGTTTCACGGGAACACACCCGCTTATCGCCACACCTTATGCTCGACCAATGTTTCTGCTGACTGTTCAGAAAAAAACCCAAGAAAACTGGACTCTGATAGTAACTTGTTTTAACAAGCTAGGTAAAAGGTAATGCCCTGGCAGTGGCAAATAGCTTTGGTTTTATATTTGATTTGATTACATTAATGTCTACAAGAAATATTTTATTGCTACTGTGTAAATGGAATACTGCTGGTCAAAAGCACCTTATTTTTTTGAAGTGTTTACAAACATAAAAGTGTGCAATACTCTATTTTAGAATTCAATTAATCACAAGAAAATCATGCGATTTATTGCGATTAAAAATTTTGATCGTTGCCCAGCACTAGTTTTTATGCACATAGTGTATATTTTTGATTTAGACATTTAGTTTTTGATTTAGACTTTTAGTTTTAATTCTGACCCGATTATCCCTCCATACAGTACCAGATTTTGAAGAGTGCCTTCTTTGTTGCTGTGATGCGAGTCTTGTTTAAACACAGAAGAATGTACACACATTCAAACCGACCTGTGGGTAAGTGATGAAACAAAGAATGACCTGCTCAGAGTAACAATGAATCCAACTAGGTGGTATTGTTAATTGTGACGATGCACAACTCTGAGGTCTCAGAGCAGATTGAGTCACTTAGTGGTCACTTTGGCCTTATGGCAAGGTGCTCCATCATGCTGGAAAAGGAAAAATATTTTTCTTACACAAGGTTTTAATGTAGGAAAACAGCCCACAAAAATTAAATTGCTGTAACTGGAATTTTTATAGCCTACTAGTTGTAAGCTATGACGTATACTTGTAAAATCCTTCTATAGGATTTGTTCACAGGAGTTTGAACATCACCATGGTACATCGATAAGAATGTAGGAGGGACAAGTGTTTCAGTTTAAGCCATTTATTTCCACTACGCACACCTGAAGAGCAATAGGAGATGAAGAGGCTTGACGGTTATAGTTTTCTACAAATAACGAAGGATTACAATACAGTTAACCAATGTCTAACATAACACTTAACAACTAGGTGCCTAAAAATAAACATTTGTACTCTAACCAAAGGGTGAAGGTAGGCCTACCACTACTGAAATTATAAAGTACTACCTAACAAGACATTCATTTAACAATTACATAATCTAAGAAATTCATCATGGACTAAGTTAGGTTATACTGTTTCCTGCCTTTCCTTAAGAACTACAATTAACAAACCATGTGCACTGCGCACTTACACACAATGTGTCTCAAGGCAAACAATTAAGATGAAGATTATGGCATCTACTAATATATATCAGTGAAGCATTCAATCACATCCAGTTTACAAATAATCATTAAGAGACAGCAAATGTGAAAAGGGCAATAAACTCACACACACAACCATAGGTATATATCTGAATCTATCTCAGAGACACTCATGTGTTGTTTGTGTTGCTGCCAACCAGAATAAAGGGAATGGGTGGAGCTTATAAAGTAGACCATTGATTAGGAGTGATATATCAATATTATCCTACCATTAAAGTTTTTATTTATTGTTATAATATTAATACTAATAAACTAATTTAAACAAGTTCTTCCTGCAGGTTTTGGAAAGCGCATCTGCACTGGACAGATTTAGATTTGTGTTTTTGTCTGAATTTTGTCTATCCCTTAATGTAAACAAGACATTTCAACTATAAATTGATGCAGAAAGGGCAGAAATTGGTGCCAAAAACTTCACCAGAATGCAGGAAATCTTAAATGCTCAAAGTTTTGTTTTTTACCTGATGCCTGACCCAGATGAACACTTAAAGCCCCATGTTCAGTGCATGGCCGTTAGAAAGGTAGCTATTTTGAGCTCATGAAACAGTTATCTACTAAACACTTCCATTATATACAGCTGCATAAACTTCTATCTACAATACAAGTCAAAGTTAAAATGTATTTGTGGAAAATGTGTTTTATGCTTTAAAATTTTTATTTACCTTTCTTTGCCAACTACATTGTGATGCTCGTACTGATTACTGTCAAATTACTTGTATTAAAATGATTGAAAAGAGCTATGTGTACTGCAGTGCACATGGAAACAGCAGCAACAGCTTGAAATGTTCAGGCTCCAGACTTGTTTTTCTCTTCAGAGGCCCCCAAGAGTCCACCAGTGTTATGTAATATTATTATGTAACATTTTGTAACGTTATTGGGGCCTTTGCACTCAGCCTCCTCCACTCCTCACCCAGATACCGAAAGACACACCACCACCCTATCTGCAGGAGGAAATCTGTGATTTGCAGGGAGCTTTTTAAAATATCTTTATCATGATCTTTCAAGCACTTTTTGAGTGCATGGACTTTACTGGATGGCTGTTCTTCAGTTTTGTAGTGTTAGTTTTGACTGATGTGTTCAGAAACTGGAGGCCACACAGCTTTCCACCTGGTCCCTGGGCTGTGCCTTTTCTAGGAAATGTATTCACTGGAGTTGACTTCAAAACAATGGAGAAGGTGAGGTGAACAATTTTAGATGCACATCACCGCATCTTCCTAGGGTAGAGGTTAAATATCCAAAGGGAAATTTGGCATACAAAAAGTAGTCCTGCCAATATGTAGAGGAAAAGGAATAATAAATTGTCAAGGAGGTTGAGATTCCAGCGCTCCAACAACCATGCCTCATGGGGCTGTGGGGCAGAATAATAAGACTGTAACTCAAACGTGTTTTCTCACCATCTGCCAATTTGATATCAGTGATTATTAATTTAAAGTTTTATTTTCTGCTGCTTTATATGTTAAAGAGGTTAACTAAATAATGCAGCACCTCCTCGAACCTGATTTTAAATCTCAACTAACAGTGATAGTTACAAACACCAGATTCAATGTCAGTCGTTACTGACGGAATGTAATTTAGAGGCCATAAAAGCGTTTTTGACAATCAGATTTATTTAACTGTGAGTTTTCAAAGCAACATAAAACAATTTACAAAGCTCAAAACATGCAAAATAATTTGTGACAAACTGTAGGTAAATATGTGGAAAATAAGTACTAATACATTTAGTATGTTTAGGAGAACATATATATTTATATTTAGTATGTTAAGAACAACACTGAAATCATGAAAATATATCAAAGACAAACTGCATCAACACAGAGGAACAGATTGACAGTATTATGAGCATCAAGTAACACAAACCTTTTGTATAATGTATTTGTCTACCCTTTATCCCATTGTTGCATTGGACAAACACGGCTTGAAAGAATATCAAAGTATTTTTAGAACACTTCCTCACTCTAAAAGTACTTTGTTTTTAAATGCAGCTTGCTCAGGTGTACGGCCCAGTGTTCAGCTTGAGGAGAGGCAGTGAGAGGATGGTGTTTATTTCAGGATACAAGATGGTCAAAGAGGCTCTTGTTAACCAGCTGGACAGCTTTGTTGATCGACCTGTTATCCCTCTCTTCCATGTTATCTTCAAGGGCCTTGGTGAGTACTGGAGACCATGAATGTATGGCACTATATCTTATATATATATATATAAAACTCAGTTCACATAGGACAAACTACTATATTGTTAATGCAGAATACATATAGTGCGATATTTTGTCCTCTATATTGTGACCTCGTCTTTCCAAGATAGACCAAATTCAGCACAGCAGAGATTAGGGAATGACAACATATGTCCTCCTAAGTGATACAGTTCATAAACACAGCACAATACATTTTTCTCAAACTACATTCAGCAGTTGTTGTGCTGGTGTAGTGGTTGGGTTATGTAGGGCAGTAAAGCACACACACATTTAGTCATTAGCTTTAACTCACTGTTTATCTGGTAACAGAGGTTAAAGGTCAGTTCTTCATCACAGCCAGTCTCAAAGCCTCAAGCTTCACGGAGGTAGCACATGCAGATTGTTAATACGTTTTTGTTTTTTGCATATAACCAACATAGACTATACTAAATGTTTTGTACATTGCTCAAATCGCAGCGACGTAGCACAGGGCGCCCATGCTACACACAGGTCTCCATGGCAACAATGTCCATTACACTCTGGAAAATAGACTAATTAGCCAACATAATAAAATAAATAACAGAATAAAAAATTAAACAGATGACTGATAATAAATCATTTAAAATGTAATTTTACAATGTAATACACAGAGACAGTGATGGCAAGTGGAATCATGAACTTTGCTACAAAGGGACTGTTTTCTTTGATAAAACATTCCTGCAGGCATAGCTTTGAGCAATGGTTACCTGTGGAAGAAGCAGAGGAAGTTTGCCAACACTCACCTGCGTTACTTTGGAGAGGGCCAGAAGTCACTGGAAAAATACATTGAAGTGGAAAGCAACTTCCTCTGTGAAGCTTTCAATGAGGAACAAGGCAAGTACATTATACAGACTCAGCTGTTAGTTCATGCTACTTGACTACTACACTTGCTAATAATGGACTGCCATCACATCATAATTGTACAGAATGTCTGTGACAAATAAGTGATTATACATCCTGATGCAATTTATCATCACTTGAGTTGAATTCAACATATTCCCAGGAAGGCCATTCAACCCCCACTACATCATAACGAATGGAGTGAGTAACATCATCTCCTCTGTGGTCTTCGGACACCGTTTTGAATACAGCGACCAAAGATTTCGCAAGTTCCTGGAATTGGACAATGAGGCCATTGTGCTCGCAGGCTCTGCTCAGACTCAGGTAAGTCCTGATCTGCCTCAACTATTATGTTGTGATCACAAAACAAACTGGTTTATTACTGATGTGAGTTTGTCCCATGAATAGCTGTATGACGCCTTCCCTGGCTTGCTGAAGTACCTGCCAGGACCTCACCAGACTGTTCACGCCAACTACAAGGAGATAACGATTTTCCTCAAAAAGGAAGTAGAGAAGCACCAAGAAGAGTGGAACCCAGATGACCCTCGAGATTATATTGATGTTTACCTGGCAGAGATGGAGAAGGTAAGATAATTCCATGAAAGCATGGCTCTGTGTATAATGTCATAAAATAGTGTGTTTTCTGCTTATTTGCCAGAAAAAGGAGGATCCCCAGGCTGGCTTCAACATAGAAACCCTGCTGATTTGCTTGCTTGATCTAATTGAGGCTGGGACAGAAACAAGTTCCACCACTTTACGCTGGGGCCTCGTATACATGATGCACTACCCAGAGATACAGGGTTAGTATCTTATTAATAAGAACATTTTTCTCACAATTTTCTTGTGAAATTACAGATGGTTTGGTGCTTTTTCAAGTGTATAATGTTCAACAAGCTGCCCATTGTAATCTGCTTCCTCATTCAGAGAAGGTCCAGGCAGAAATAGACAGAGTGATCGGACAGTCTCGTCAGCCCAACATGGCCGACAGACCCAACATGCCTTACACTGATGCTGTCATCCACGAGATTCAAAGGATGGGGAATATTGTTCCCCTTGGATTCCCTAAAATGGCCAGTAAAGACACAACACTGGGAGGATACTTTATACCCAAAGTAAAGGACTATTTACCAAACTCACCATGGGATGAATGTAATAAGTTGTAAGATTTGTAAATTATTCATACACAGCTGATTTCAACAGCTCATGAATCTTTTTTTTTCAGGGCACATTTATTAGTACAATCCTTGCATCTGTGCTGTTTGATAAGAATGAGTGGGCGACTCCACATGTCTTCAGTCCTGAGCATTTCTTGGATTCAGAGGGCCAGTTCCGCAGAAGAGATGCATTCTTACCGTTCTCAGCAGGTTTGCTCAATACTGTTTAGCTTACAAGAATTTCTAACATACAGTAGTTCATGTCAGAAACATGTGGGTTAAGAATATGCTAACCTACAGCTGCTGTCGACTGTTTCCCTGCAGGTAAACGTGTGTGTTTGGGAGAGCACCTGGCCAGAATGGAGCTGTTCCTGTTTTTTTCATCTCTCCTCCAACGCTTCACCTTCTCTCCAGTAACGGGCGAAATGCCCAGCTTAGAGGGCGTGCTGGGCTTCACCTATTCCCCTGAGGAGTTCAGGATGCACGCCTTGCCTCGCTGATCAATGATCTCAATGATCTCTCTGAGACAACAGTCAAAGATCCTAGATTCAAATCTTTTTTGTATGTCATCTTCAATGACATGATGATCAAATATCTGACTTTCTTCTGAAAACTAGCATGTGTGATATGACCACCCATATGACCAAAATAAAGTCATGTAAAAATAAAGAAAATCACCATGTCTGTGAAGGAGATGGACATTTTCATGTTGTAAGTCAAAGACACCTTGATTTGCTTATTGTTTGAAGACCAGCTTTGTCACCTTTGATTTGGTTCTTACAGGTAATTAGACCACCTGTACTTCCATTATTTTGCCTGTGTAGACCTCTTCTTTTGTCTGCGTGGGTGCCTACCGTCACAATTGTTTAATTTTTCCCTGACTTTCCTGTTAGTTTTATTGCAACTGATGGGAAAGCCTACCTTACACATGTGTCATTAGCACATGGCATTTGGTGACTTCAATGAAAAAAAGAACTGAAAACACCTGCGTGAGAGTACCGGGGACTTTGAGATCATAAATAACAGCTTGCTACTAATGTTACAGTTAACTTTGCACGTGTAACGTTTGTTGTAGTGGTAGCTAATACATTCTCACTTTGAATGAAGATGTTTAAAGAAACTAAATAAAAAATATTGACTGTCCTACAATTTCATTTGACATGGAAAATGAAATATACTTATATTGATACAGCATCTGTCATAGGTCTGAATGTGTGAGTGAGCATATTGGGGTAGGATTCATCCCTCATTAGGAGGGTCTGGCATTTAGGGGAAAAGAACGGTTTGTCACATATAATCTTAGAACTATTGTGACTGTTGACATTATTGTAACTATATATGTTTTCCCCATGTAAACTCAATAAGATTGGTACAAAATTATTTATTTATCATTCACAAAAACAAATGGGCCGACGAACGATAAAGCTGGGTCAGGCCGCTGCCCATTGATTCATTTTCTATACTGACTCTGGGCTGGCCCAATCACATCTCTTACTTCTGCCCTCTGTTTCACGTGTCAGAAGCAGAAGCATGGTTCAGAGCCAAAAATCTCAATAAAATCTGGGTATGCTGCCCATTATGTCAAAATAAAAAGACATGTAGTAAGGTTAGAGGTAGACATGAGCCAGTATGATATCGGTTTCACGGTTTTATGGTTTCAGGTCTAAAATGTGTTAATTTTAAATGTCTGGGTAAAAACTATTAACTTTATTCCATTGAAAACAATGCATTTTATTTTTAAGCAACAACATTCAGTTTACTACTGCTGCTACTTATAATATCAAATAATGCCATAAAATCAAATATTGTTATTTCAGTGTTGATGCACGACAGAGAGAGCACAAGTGTGTGTCACACACACACACACACACACACACACACACCAGTCTACTGTACGCTGCTCTATTTTATTGGACTGCATTGTGGTTTTTGATTATATTTAACTATTTTAGCATTCCGACTGACTCAGGCTTGCCTGACCTGGTTTTGTTCAGTGCAGTGGTGCATTGCTCATACAAACCTAAGAGGCAGATGTGATCAAAAGTTTCTTGAAGGTCTTCATCATATTAAAATTGACTGTACACAAGTACAACACTATATATTAAAATAACTGCAAAAAAAAAGGCCTCTCCGTCTCAAAGTCCTGGGCTGAATTTCAGTTCCAGGACATCCCTGCACGCCACCATAGATATTCCCTTTGCTGAGTGGTTGTTGTTGTGTGTGACACAGACACATGCGCCAATCACAGCATGGGCCAGTTACCGGTTTCAAGGTATCCCATATGAAAAAGTCAAGGTCAAAAACACAAATTTTCTGTGGCACCGTTGCTGTTTTCTTATGTCTTGTTAAAGACGGAAAGTGCAGGAATCCCGCAGTTTGTGTGCTGCATAGAGTAACACGACCCCGACACCTCCTTGTTGGTCAGTCACAAGTGTGTAGGATGACTAAAGGCGGCGAACCCCTTAAAATTTCCCCCTTCAAAAAAATTCTAGGTAACACTATCTTGAAATGAACATTTGCAACAAGCTCAGTAAGTTTTGCACGTTTTGCACTGATGAAATAAATACTGTTGGCTTGCTAGTGAGGCGTGACATGGCTTATTAACTAGCTAACATCTGGTAGTTTCACCCCCAACTTAAATTTAGCTGGTATCACGTGGATACACCATTGTGTACATCTGTAAAAAATCACAAAATTAAAAATAAAAACAAACTGGCTTTCTGGTGTCTTTTCCACTATTTGTCTGTCGTACAGAGAGAGACCGTACAGTAGACAGGTGTGTGTGTGTGTGTGTGTGTGAGACACACACTTGTGCTCTCTCTGTCGTGCATCAACACTGAAATAACAATATTTGATTTTATGGCATTATTTGATATTATAAGTAGCAGCAGTAGTAAACTGAATGTTGTTGCTTAAAAATAAAATGCATTGTGTTCAATGGAATAAAGTTAATAGTTTTTACCCAGACATTTAAAATTAACACATTTTAGACCTGAAACCATAAAACCGTGAAACCGATATCATACTGGCTCATGTCTACCTCTAACCTTACTACATGTCTTTTTATTTTGACATAATGGGCAGCATACCCAGATTTTATTGAGATTTTTGGCTCTGAACCACGCTTCTGCTTCTGACACGTGAAACAGAGGGCAGAAGTAAGAGATGTGATTGGGCCAGCCCAGAGTCAGTATAGAAAATGAATCAATGGGCAGCGGCCTGACCCAGCTTTATCGTTTGTCGGCCCATTTGTTTTGTGAATGATAAATAAATAATTTTGTACCAATCTTATTGAGTTTACACGGGGAAAACATATATAGTTACAATAATGTCAACAGTCACAATAGTTCTAAGATTATAATGAAAATGTCCATCTCCTTCACAGACATGGTGATTTTCTTATTTTTACATGACTTTATTTTGGTCATATGGGTGGTCATATCACACAGGCTAGTTTTCAGAAGAAAGTCAGATATTTGATCATCATGTCATTGAAGATGACATACAAAAAGATTTGAATCTAGGATCTTTGACTGTTGTCTCAGAGAGATCATTGAGATCATTGATCAGCGAGGCAAGGCGTGCATCCTGAACTCCTCAGGGGAATAGGTGAAGCCCAGCACGCCCTCTAAGCTGGGCATTTCGCCCGGAACTGGAGAGAAGGTGAAGCGTTGGAGGAGAGATGAAAAAAACAGGAACAGCTCCATTCTGGCCAGGTGCTCTCCCAAACACACACGTTTACCTGCAGGGAAACAGTCGACAGCAGCTGTAGGTTAGCATATTCTTAACCCACATGTTTCTGACATGAACTACTGTATGTTAGAAATTCTTGTAAGCTAAACAGTATTGAGCAAACCTGCTGAGAACGGTAAGAATGCATCTCTTCTGCGGAACTGGCCCTCTGAATCCAAGAAATGCTCAGGACTGAAGACATGTGGAGTCGCCCACTCATTCTTATCAAACAGCACAGATGCAAGGATTATACTAATAAATGTGCCCTGAAAAAAAAAAGATTCATGAGCTGTTGAAATCAGCTGTGTATGAATAATTTACAAATCTTACAACTTATTACATTCATCCCTAGGTGAGTTTGGTAAATAGTCCTTTACTTTGGGTATAAAGTATCCTCCCAGTGTTGTGTCTTTACTGGCCATTTTGGGGAATCCAAGGGGAACAGTATTCCCCATCCTTTGAATCTCGTGGATGACAGCATCAGTGTAAGGCATGTTGGGTCTGTCGGCCATGTTTGGCTGACGAGACTGTCCGATCACTCTGTCTATTTCTGCCTGGACCTTCTCTGAATGAGGAAGCAGATTACAATGGGCAGCTTGTTGAACATTATACACTTGAAAAATCACCAAACCATCTGTAATTTCACAAGAAAATTGTGAGAAAAATGTTCTTATTAATAAGATACTAACCCTGTATCTCTGGGTAGTGCATCATGTATACGAGGCCCCAGCGTAAAGTGGTGGAACTTGTTTCTGTCCCAGCCTCAATTAGATCAAGCAAGCAAACCAGCAGGGTTTCTATGTTGAAGCCAGCCTGGGGATCCTCCTTTTTCTGGCAAATAAGCAGAAAACACTGTTTTTTTATGACATTATACACAGAGCCATGCTTTCATGGAATTATCTTACCTTCTCCATCTCTGCCAGGTAAACATCAATATAATCTCGAGGGTCATCTGGGTTCCACTCTTCTTGGTGCTTCTCTACTTCCTTTTTCAGGAAAATCATTATCTCCTTGTAGTTGGCGTGAACAGTCTGGTGAGGTCCTGGCAGGTACTTCAGCAAGCCAGGGAAGGCGTCATACAGCTATTCATGGGACAAACTCACATCAGTAATAAACCAGTTTGTTTTGTGATCACAACATAATAGTTGAGGCAGATCAGGACTTACCTGAGTCTGAGCAGAGCCTACGAGCACAATGGCCTCATTGTCCAATTCCAGAAACTTGCGAAGTCTTTGGTCGCTGTTTTTCAAAACGGTGTCCGAAGACCACAGAGGAGATGATGTTACTCACTCCATTCGTTATGATGTAGTGGGGGGTTGAATGGCCTTCCTGGGAATATGTTGAATTCAACTCAAGTGATGATAAATTGCATCAGGATGTATAATCACTTATTTGTCACAGACATTCTGTACAATTATGATGTGATGGCAGTCCATTATTAGCAAGTGTAGTAGTCAAGTAGCATGAACTAACAGCTGAGTCTGTATAATGTACTTGCCTTGTTCCTCATTGAAAGCTTCACAGAGGAAGTTGCTTTCCACTTCAATGTATTTTTCCAGTGACTTCTGGCCCTCTCCAAAGTAACGCAGGTGAGTGTTGGCAAACTTCCTCTGCTTCTTCCACAGGTAACCATTGCTCAAAGCTATGCCTGCAGGAATGTTTTATCAAAGAAAACACTGCCTGTCATGGGTTTGGGTTGGTTGGGTGTGTTTTGCATTTATTTTCTGTGTTCATTTCCTGCCCTTATGTTTGCTCTTCGCTGTAGTATTTGAATGTTACTTTGGTCATTTGTTAATTTGTCAGGTTGTTCTGAGTTCTAGTCTTTGTTTCTAGTCTTGTTTTACTATCTGTGCTCGTTACTTTTTTGTAAGCAAGTCACTTATGTCATCTTTCATTTTGTGACTTTATTTTTTATATTTTATATTGTTTTATTTTATTATTTATTTAGTTTATCTTCCAGAGTGTAATGGACATTGTTGCCATGGAGACGTGTGTGTGTAGCGTGGGCGCCCTGTGCTACACCCCTGCAGATTTGAGCAGCCTACCCCACAACTTATTAACAGTCTGCATGTGCTATCTCTGTGGTAAGTTGCCTTACAACAGCTCTGTTAAATATTGCGGGTAAAAGTGCGTTTTATGTACTATGTTAACTTCAGATTTCAGTTGCTTGAGAAAATGTGGTATGATGATTTTGTTGCCTTTTAATTGTGTTTTTCTGTTTATTTGTGAATAATATGTATGGTGTATTAGATAGCTTTATTTTAGCTTAAAGGTTCAGTGTAGTGTTTTTTTATTTTTTTATTTTTTTATACATCACAATACTGAATATATTAAACAATTCTAATACTCATGTTCCACAATATCAATACTGAAAACGCACTTCACTTCACTGACAGCGATTTGATATACACACCGCTGCAGTGCCCACACAGCTCAGCCTCCTGTCACTCACAGCGCTTTCTTCTCGGCTGCAGTAGGTTCCTAACTGAGTGAAGTGACCTGGAAGTATTGAAGTGGCAGCCATGATTAGAGCTGGTCGAATTCTCTAAATGCTAAGGAAAGGTGCTTCAATGCTTCCTTTCCTATTTTCTTTAACATAGGTTACACTGGACCATCCTTTATGAAAGGAAAGGAGATAATACCGTCCCACAATTCCTTGCGACAGCAACATTTCATTTCATTGTCATTTTCAAACTCAAATGATAAAATCGATTGACCACATTTAGCAAAATCCTTGCAATAGGCCTACATGACTGACAGACATTACTATTTTTTTTATTTATGATAGGCTACTTGAATAAGATACTCAATATACAATTTCCTTCTTTCTTTTGGTTTGTTTTCTTTTGGCTTTGCTATAATCTAATACTGTTTCAACAGCATGTTATGTTTTGCATTGTTGAAATAAGTGTTGTATTTGAATTTTATACAAAATCACTGACCATGACGGATAAAGGATATTGATCAAGTTACAATTGGCTATTAAGCCTTTTCTGTCTTATGCCATAACTTGCTAATATGCATATGTCTTGAACTGTCAACAATTACTGAGACCCATACCCTATGTTTCTGGTCATGTAAAATGTGAAGTGAGGATAATGTTGAAATGTGTAGGCTAACGTTAAATGCTCAGTTTGTGCGCTGCATGGAGCTCTGTGATCAAATGCGATTTTTACCCATTTTAAATGGTAGCCTAACAAAAAAGAGCGTTTATAATGTGTCAGGTCGCCACAAATAAATCAATGTGTGGGAAACGCCTACTGTAGAGGTCATCCAGCTTGATCATTGCCTTTATTAAGGCGAGGGTGATCAGCATCTGTGACTTAAGTAAAATTAATTAATGATCTTGCTGAAGGCTGCTGTACATAAAGTGAGTCTACACACTGCAACATTATCAGAATCAGAATCAGAATCAGTTTTATTGCCAGGTATGTATGTACATACGAGGAATTTGACTCAGGATTGTACATTGCTCACGATGTGCTTACTTATACAATAATAAAATAATAATAATAAAATAAAATCAGACACAAACTACAGAATAGACAACACTAATATACACACTATGAACAAAACTATGTAGACATATTGACAAATAGTGCAGTGATCAGAGTGCAAAGGATGCAAGAGTAAACTATTATTCTCATTATCTACATGTTGAAGGTGGATATGATATACAGGTACACATACACATATATGCATACATGTACACATGTACACAGTGTGATGGAGCATAGTACAAAGGATCCTGGAAAAAATTAATAAGACCTATGAACTTATGACCTGAGGTAGGTGTATTGATATACAGTATATACAATATGACATAGTAGGAACAGCACTGAAATAGAGAATGGTGAATAAATAAATAATAAGTGGTAACCAGTAAACAGGAGGCTGATGAGAGACAGAGTTACTGGGTTATTGCATAGGAATTGTTCCTGACACTGTGAGTCAGAAATCAGCTGTTCATCAGAGTGATGGCTTGTGGGAAGAAACTGTTCCTGTGTCTGTTGGTTTTGGCGTACAGTGCTCTGTAGCGCCTACCAGAGGGGAGGAGCTGGAACAGGTTGTGTCCGGGGTGAGATGGATCTGCAGTGATGTTTCCTGCCTGTTTCCTGACTCTGGAAAAGTCCTGAATGGAGGGCAGGTTGGCACAGATTATTCCAGTCCTGACTGTCCGTTGTAGTCTGCTCCTGTCCTTTTTGGTGGCAGATCCAAACCAGACAGTGATGGAGGTGCAGAGGACAGACTGGATGATGGCTGTGTAGAAGTGGATCAGCAGCTCCTTAGGCAGGTTGAGCTTCCTGAGCTGACGCAGGAAGTACATCCTCTGCTGGGCCTTCTTGATGATGGAGTCTGTGTTGGGCTCCCACTTCAGGTCCTGGGAAATAGTGGATCCCAGAAACCTGGAAGGATTCCACAGCAGACACAGGGCTTTTGAGTATGGTGATGGGGGGGGGGGGGCAGACTGGGGGGGCTCCTCCTGAAGTCCACGGTCATCTCCACAGTTTTGAGCGTGTTAAGCTCCAGGTTGTTCTGACCGCACCAGAGCTGATCAACCTCCCATCTGTAGGCAGACTCGTCACCGTCCCTGATGAGCCGATGACCATTGTGTCGTCAGCAAACTTCAGGAGTTTGACAGATGGGTCCCCTGAGGTGCAGTCGTTGGTGTAGAGGGAGAAGAGCAGGGGGGAGATCACACACCCCTGGGGGGCGCACGTGCTGATATATATGATGTGATGTT